CAATACAAAAAGCAAGACCGTTATGACACGCGATTATTTTGACAGGTGACAGTTTTGACATGTGTTTAAAAGAAACTGTTCTTCTAACATACAAATAAAAAAAAACTATTTTTTAATTATATGCAAGCTGAGTCAAAAATTGATCTATATAATATGAAAACACAAGAAAACTGATGCAAAAAATCAAAATCGCCAAAGAAGACAGTAATAGAAACACAAGACAAATAGCCAGTTGCATAAACGCCCATCAAATACCAATTTTGTGATAACAATTCGATTCTTTTCTAAGTTGTGATTAAGTTGTGCAAAATGTTTGTAATTAAAAGTTCACATCGTTGGTTGTTTCATTACGTAACTTAGCTGTTTTATTTTTTTCTTTAACGAAAAGGAATTACTGGAAAACGGTTATACCAGTTGGTGAATCGCCAAATGGACCATACGAAATTCAATGAGAAATTCTAAATTGTTGAATTCCTGCTTCCCTAATTATTTTACATCAAAAGTCATAAGAAACTTTTTTTAGAGGACTGAATTATGTATTAAAATCAAATGTTAAAATTGTTCTACGAATTAAATGTATTCCAAAATTTTGTAAAAACATAATACACTTTTCAGACCATCCCTTAAAGTCAGGCCACACAAGGGGCAAGAATGTGTATGACATGTTTCGTTTGGTCATATTGATGATTCTGATATTTGACAAAATTTGAATTGTCAATATTTTTATTTTGTGATTAAATTATACACAAATACTAAAATATGCAAATTTTCACAAATACTACTACTACTACTACTAGTGAACAATAAATAGTACTTTGTAAACAATAAATTATATTGTTTACAAAGCAATAAAATTGATGAAATGTATTAAGTTCACGAAAAATCGCAATAATGTATTCAGGCAATAGTGCTGGCACTGCCAGATCTTTATTCAACACAAGATATAATACACTCCAATTTAATTCCAGTGTATACAACAATTCAAAGAATTTCAATACAGTTTTACTGTGATCCTTCCATCGAGCAAAAAGATAAAAGAGGGAATCTAATCGTTATGAAAAGGAGACCAAAAAAGTGGCCTCTGATAGCGGACATATCCGGAAATGCAAAGGCGCTAAATTTAAATTTTCCAACACTTATTAACAATAGCTATAAAATATTTTTCAGACGAGAAAGTTTTAATTAAATATTAACGATAATAGTCTAAAAAGTGACACAATTGGTAAAAAACTTCAATATAAATAAAATTTCATGTGACAGTTGGGACAAATAATAACATAACCAAAGTAAATTTGACTTCTCAAACAAGGAAAGAGACTGTCTTTCCTTGTTTAAAGTGGCCTCTTAAGATAGCACTTCCTGTCTAACAATATTTTGTCCCCACTACCTTTACATTCCCTCTTTTATCTTTTTGCTCGATGGATCCTTCCTAATAATAATTTCTGATAACTTCTAAACATAAAATTATAACAAATGTTGAAACAATCAAAAGCCATTTTGTACTAAGCAGTATCCCACTCGATTGTAAAATTCTCGTCTAACATTAGCATGGCGTGGCGTTATTTTTAGATATTAATTAACATTAATTCGCATTTTTAATGCTTCAATGTCTTTAAATTTATTATGCCTGAATAAAACCTTCTTATTATTGCTACTTTCTCCTCAATTCAATATATTTTTTAATCAACTATATTGTTTTTTAAACAATAAATCGTAAAATTAAAATTTTGGCAATTCAAATATTGTGAAAATCAGAAACATAAATATGACCAAACGCAACATGTCATACACATTCTTGTACCTCGTGTGGCCTGACTTTAAGGGGTGGCTGAAAAATGTATTATATTTTTACAAAATTTTGGAATACATTTCATTCGTAGAATAATTTTAACATTTTTTTTAATACATATTTCAGTCCTCTACAAATAGTTTCTTATGACTTTTGATGTAAAATAATTAGGGAAGCAGGAATTCAACAATTAAAAATTTCCCATCGAACCCTATGGCCCGTTTGACGATTCACCACCCTGTAGATATATGTTAAAAAAATTAATAATGGCTTTAAATTTTATATCATCGACTTGCAAAGTTTATTCGAAAGAGTAAGAATATCACAATGAAGAGTAAAATGTTGCATGATTTTTAATAAATGACAAGTCACTTAGAATCGTACTGTAGGATATTATCATAGGAAGCAATATATTTCTAGTTTTTAATATATTTTCATTGCGTATGTATGCAAGGTAATGTATGTAATTTTAATATTTTAAGAATTATTATTTATTTATTTATTAAGTATTATTTTGAAAAATACAGTTGCCAGATCTGATTTACACATTTTTCCATTTTATAAGTGATCGTTACATCTTTCGTAAAATTGCAGTATTTAATTTTTATTCAGTTTTTATTTTACAATTGTACATGTATAGTAAATGTGTAGAGTTTGAATTCGCTTAGCTTGAAATTTATGTTATTATTTATTTCGCTTTTTTTTAATTTTATGAGTTACTTTAAATACATTTTAAAACTCAGGAACACTGCAATTAATAACTGTAAGATAAAATATTAAAAAATATTATTGTGCTCTATTTTTTTTTATTTCGAATCTACACATATTTGTTGTTTAAATAAAAATATATTTCTGCTTTATCGCTTATAGACGTAAAAAAAGAACATCAAAATCAAAACTCGTCCAAGTGTTTCAACAAAGAAGATGACACTAATAAATTACTTAGAATATCCATATGCTTCATGAAACCCCCCAATACAAAAATTTTCTCCTACCTCACGCCAATCGTCAGCACAATACTTGGTATCTCGGCTGGATGTATTATTCATACACAAAGAATGTTGGAAATAACTAAGGTGTATACAGAAAATTGTAGGATTTTTGAATACCTGAATGAAGGAGATGCTGAGACAAAATTTTCAAGAAACCCACAGAAATAAAGCTGATTTCTCTGTAGACAAAAGAGTTGTCATCGAGTTGAAATGTTTGTAAATCGGGTTGTGATAAATGACAGCATTTTTAAGTTCAAGAAACATCATCACTTAACTAAATTCTGTTCATTAAAAGAGTTGCAAAGACAGAATAGCACAATACTAAATCTACTATCGAGTCTTCTTACAAACTCCTTCTGATGACGGGTAGACCCAGAAACACGTGTGAGGGAGTGGTAAGACACTCAAATTAAATCGAAACGCAACCTTCTTCGTATAAAACCACTATGATCAAACATTATTTTTCTATGATATTAGTAAAAAATATCTTAAAAATTTCAAAAATAATGTCGAAAATAAAAACTTCAATTTATGTTTTGATTTTGAGAATTTGGCAAATCCTAAACATATTAAATGTCAAGTAATTAGAACAACGCCAAATGTTTTAAGCGATTTCAAAATTCCTGCAACCGAAAATTAGTATTTGATGGTGTTATTATCAAGCGTTTTTAATTAGCTGATAGAACAGTAATTTACAAAGTAAAATAAAAAATGTAAATAGTGCTACCCGCTTTTTGTCACCTTCAATATTACGCCAACATATCTGCGCGATGTTAGAACCACATACAGTGAATTTGGTAAAAACCATTATACCATTAAAAACGATAAAGAATGGAAAAAACATCAAATTTGTATCATTAATTGGTTAGTGATAGGTAATTTTTAGAGAACCATCAACTAATTTAAAGTCCGTGAAAAAATTTAACAACTTATATTTGTGCAAATAAGTAGCGAACTGAGCATGACTAATAATATTTACTACTCAACAAAGTGCATGACCAAAGCTAGAGAGCCATACGATGCCAACAACAACTGTCGAACATATTTTACTGTTCAAATATCTAGGAATTAACATGTACAGAGGACACAAAATATTTAACAACCCTATGAACAAAGAATCATATGAAAATATCTCCTACCATCCAGAAACTAATTTCTCTACTTCATTTTATAGAGGGCTGTGTATTATGCTTTAGAAGGCATGCATGGATATCATTTCTCTTTCTTTCTGGAAGATATGAGTTATTTTTAACTATTTTAGCAGTTGTTATATAGTTAGGATTCACATGGTGTGTATTTTCTGGCATCCGAAGTCGATGACACTACATAGAGTGTCTAATTTTTTTAAAAATGGGAATGAGAGGGACAATATCAAAACAAATCTTTTCTTCATAGGTTGAACTGATTGAAAATTCACTCTAGTTACAGGGTCCCATCAGTTGAGAAGAATACTCCCATTAAAGAGGTCTTCTATAACTTTCTGTTTAACTCCGTTAAAGCAAAGTTCGAGCGCTGCAGTGGCTTTACCTTCAAATGATCTTGAATTAGTCAGATCTTGAATTAGTCAGATCGGCAAAGAAGGTACCAAAAGAACTAACAAACTTCACGAAGAGTTAACCATAATTAAAAATAGAATACCAGCTGAATGGATAAATCCTGGTTTCCCTACAGAAATAACTGAGCGATCTAGACCATATCTCTATGACCAAAGACCTGATTTGGTAGAAAGTATCCATGTTAAGTTGGATAAATAAATTAATGCGGCATTCTGTGTGTGACAACAATCGTCTAAAAAAATGCCTGGAAAGCTAGATTGTGAATGTCGCACAAAATAAAAATGTTAAATGCTGAAATTGAAATAATTGGCCTAACTAGGCCCCAGAGGCTGATGGTTTAACTCCGAGACAGGTAAAACATGCAAACAATAAGGTTTTATCTTTATCTTTTAGAATGCTCTTCGTAAAGGGCGTCCGATCGGAGAAGTTCGACAGTTCCTGACCATCTCTTGCAAAATAGTAACTTTTGGTAATGGTATCTGCTTAAGAGGAAAATAGTCATTTAGATATAGACATATAGAAATTTCTCGTTTGGAATAAAGGTTACCATTTAATGAGACACATTGACCTTTTTTACCTATTAAACGTTGTAACGGGTTTTATCAAATTCACAGTTTAAACTCCTATCTCCAACAAATCGATTCTCATGTACAACTCAAAACCTTACTGTTTTTTCAACTTGTTATTATCGTGAGGCATTTGGAAAGGATACGGTATCCGGCCATGGGCCATTAATTCGGCATATAATTTGAGCTGCTCGGGGGTGGGCATGGGCAAAATCGGTGCAGAGTTTAAGTTGTTACTCGAATATAAATTCTGCATTGCGGCAGTGTAGTACATCGTGGGATCCATGAACGGTAAATAAGGGGGTAGACCTTTACTAGCTTGCTCGTACAGTTGTGTTAAATACGGTGGAAACGTTGGCACTGTAGGATTTGAAAATTGTTTTAAATTCTGTTGGGACTGTCGACTTGTCGCGGGTTTAGCGGATTCCTGTTTCATTAGTAAATTCAAGTCCATATGTGACCTCTGATGCAGATGTGAACCGTTTGATTTGAACTTACCATTTTCATCGCCTTTTGTCAGTTTTGAAGAAGAGTAATAATTGGTGGATACTCGTTTTTGAGGTGACGCTTGGGATGTAGAAATGGGTGGATAGTTGTACATTTTCTGTAAGTTATTCGGATGTGTTTTATTATTAGGACCAACTAAAGTGATTTCCAAGTTGGGACCTAACCTTCTTCCGTCCATAATGGAATTCGTTTTGTATAAGTTTTTAGTTACGCTTTCTCTATTGTATGGAGAACTGGATGACGTCTGAGGAACTCGCATTATTTCAACTATGGGCTTTTGTGGACTATTTACGGACAAATCAACTGGATCTCCTCCCGTGTGTCTAGAAACGGTATCTACGAATTTAGGAGCGTGAACAATGGGACTTAAAATATCTTTAGGGTTTCCATAAACAGTTTTCTCAGAATAGGAATAAATGGATCTTGATTGGACTACTTTTGGAGGTGAAGCACCGTTAACAAAACTAAAACTAGATCCGGTAGGTTTTTTCGTCGGAGTAGTTGGTATCTGGCTTATATTTAATGTTGGAGGAACCGAAATATGAGTTCTTTTTAAAGGAACACTGGTCGGAGGAGGCATAGTTTCAGATTTAATCGATTTGGGTATAAGCTGGATAGGAGGTGGTTGTATGACAGATGGTCTTCCATCTTTTTGTACAGCAGGTCTAACTGGCGTGACCTCTAAACCACCTTCTTTTAGAATATCAAGTTTTCGCTTCTTTATTTCATGAATAAAATTGTTTCTGTAACTTTCACTTTCGACTCGACTACTTTCTGAAACTCTAGGTCTACACGGGACTTCTATAATCTCCACATTGTTTTCTGTGGATTTTATAATTGGAATATTCTCTTTGCCTTCTACGGGAGACATGATCTCGTTGACTGGTACTTTCATAGCTACTGGTGTGGCAGCTGAGGTAAGTGGTTCCGTCTTAATAGGTATTACCTCAACTTTTACGTTATTATTATCTGGTTCTTGTGGAACTGGATCATTTTCAATCTTCACTACAGGACATTCTTCTAATTTCACAGGACTGGATTCGGCTTGTAAGTTGGTCTCTATTTTAACTGAAATTGTAACCGGTATATTTTTGTTTTCAATTTTAATTTCGGCGTTTTCATTTTGTGTTTCACTTTTAACTGTAGCATACTCTATTTTTACTGGATGGGATTGAGTTATCACTGTTGACAGCTCAGTTTTTACTGTCATACTTTCTGTTTTAATAACAAGTTTTTCTATTTTTGCTTTGCTGTCATTTGTTTCTTCCGTCTTTATCGGTGACTGCCATTTTTCATTGTTGTTGTTATTGTTATTGGTGTTATCTTTTTCACTTTGCAGTTGTTTATCTTTTTGTCTATCAGGTTTCACTCGAATGCTTCGCAACGAAGATGTCTTTCCTTCCGTTTTAACATTATCCTAAAAAATAATAAAATATTAGAATATTGTTTATTAATATAAAAAAGTATTACAAAAATTTCAAGAAAAAATGTGCTGCATATTGCATAACACGCCTCATTAGTATTACAATCAGTCTATTCGTTTTCTCTTTAACATTATTCTAAAATTAAATATAAGGTTTATATGGGACTACGCGACAACTGATTGCAATGAAAATTACATTTTATAAACATCTTATTATATCTTTACCTGTGAGGGAAAACGGAATCTTCAGAATTCGATATAACAACGAGCTCTATCAACTGTATAAGGAAACACCCCTGTCAAACTTCATTAGAATACAAAGATTGCAATGGGCCGGACATGTGATACGAATGGGAGAGGATAGGCTACCAAAACGAGCACTGAACGCCAGAATGCAGGGAACGAGACCAGTTGGAAAGCCAAGAAAGCGCTGGGAAGACACAGTAAGCAACGACGCACAAGCACTTTTAGGAGTCCGTGTATGGAGAAGAGCAGCCACAGACAGACAAGGGTGGAGGCAAAAAATAAAGGAGGCCAAAGCTCATTTTGGGCTGTAGTGCCGTAGAAGAAGAAGAAACATCTTGAAAGAAGTGGGGTTAGGTGATAGGGACTTGAGAATCATCTATAATTTATATTACAACCAAACAGCCAATATTAAATTGGATGACCAATTGACAGAGGCAGTCTCCATAGATAGAGGAGTGAGGCAAGGATGCATTGTGTACCCAGTGTTATTTAATATATACTCTAAATATATCTTCGAGCAAGCTCTGGGAGAACTACAAGAAGGCGTATTAGTCAACGGAATGCCTCTAAACAACATTAGATATGCCGACGACGCAGTAGTTTTTGCAGATAGTCTGGACGGTTTGTAAAGAATAATGTCGCGTATATCAGATATAAGTAGAGAACACGGACTTGATCGTAATACGAAAAAAAAAGTACATGGTAGACAGTAAGCACGAAATATTAAATACACAGCTTTTGGTTAACCAACATCCAACTGACAGAGTGGACAGCTACTCATACCTTGATACCAACATTAACAGCCAATGGGATCACTCCAGTGAAATAAAACAACGCATAGGAAAAGCGAGATCAGCGTTCATAATGATGAAGTCTCTTTTCAGAAGTCAATTACCACTGGCCACCAAAATCTCTCTCATTAGATGCTATGTATTTTCTACGTTAATATACTACGTTAACATGCTTGCATGCTTGACGTCGTCTTCTTACCCTGGCTCGACCATCATGCATCCTTAAATAGAATCGAGATTCATCACTAAAGACATCATTATTCTATTCCTGGTCTCAAGCCAATCGTTATCTGCACCATTGAAGCCGATTACGTTGACGTTCAGGGGTAAGAAGTAGTATCGTTTAGTGTGACCGAAATAAAAAAGGCCAACACTGCGAATTCAACAACAGATTGTTCAATGTTTGTAAACTTTCATGTTCTGTAAACCATTAACTTAGCAAAAGACCTAGTAGAGAAGCGATCTCTTAAGCCATTGAACTTAGGCTACGATCTTAATGCCTTGTTGGTTATCGGCGCCGCAATGTGCCCCTAGATCTTCGTGTTCAGATTTCTTGAAGCAAATAACTTCATATACAGATATATAGATAACTTCAGATAATAATTCAAATTTCTGTGAATCCTATTCGCAATTTTCCGAAAAGAAAGTATCCCCTATCAAACTCGCTTAGTTGATAAAAAATTGTTTACATTTTGTTAGCTTTAGCAACAGCTTTAAAAAACCAAGAACCGTACACCACTAAATTTTGATCGGTGCAAATTTAGAAAAAAAAAATTAAGAAAAAACGAAAATCTAAACTATAATATGACTGAAATTCTAATCTAATTGTTTATTGTTTTTACCAAGATAAGTTTTATGTCACTTTCATTTTCATTATCTAACAAGCTATTCAGATTGAAAAATGCCGCTTTTATAAGAAAAAGAGATGACAGCACAGGTATTTTTAACATACCATCCAGTACCCAATCATTATGTCGTTATCCCGGTACAGAAACAGCATACTGGTGCCACTAAGTATGCACTATGTATGCACTTTGTATGCACTTTGGTTTGGATTCAGAAAACCGAAGCCCTGAACAGGCCTTGGTGAAAACAAATTACTATTTAATTCTTATTTTTACAAACATATTAATATTAAGAGTTTAATTTACCTTGTTTTCGGTAACTTGTTCCGACACAGATGGTTTTCTGGACGTTGAAGGTACCGAAGAACTGTCACTACTAGAATCTGCATCACTCAAACTGCCGCTTCCTCGTTTATATTTCAATCTTCTTCGTTCCGATACAGGCAATGGTTTATATTCTTCACCGTGAATATGGCGTTCATACGGCAATAAGAATCTGAAAGTAATTTAAAAATTAAACAGAATAAGTTGTATAACGTTACAATGCTTTGGATTAAAGCTCTGGGACTAAAAATAATCACAAAAAGAAAGGCAAAGGATTTTTCTTGTTCAGTAAAAACGATTTACACGTCTAAACCTTATTTATATATTTAGCCAATCTTAGAGGTTATTTACCCTCATACCCCCTCATATCACCCTCTAGGGTGATCAGAAAACTGCAACTATCAGATATTAACTAAAAAAAGGGTTTAGTATGCGGTACTGTAGACTAGATCGAAGCTTTATATTACATAATCAACAAAATTTCTTTTTAACATATTAACAAAGCATTTCTAAGTTGTTTACTTATGATGAACCTGGCAAATTCCGACCATATGCTAATGACAAAATATAAATAAATATCATTTGATAGTAAATTCAATTATTATATAAACTAAATAATATGTTTCACCATAATAATTGTATTTATATGAAATTATTTTAAATTATTATAAAAATTTAAACAGATGATTCAATGTTATTATTACTAGGATGACATTTATGTCTTGTATTAGGTCAATTTTGACAATCGTTACGAATCGAATTTTCGATTGATATTCTTTTAATTTATTTATTTCTCAATTAAAGTCTATATTTTCATCAGAATACAACAAACCGGCATATCTATGTTTAGTGGACCTTACAAAGGCATGTGGCCGGGTCAAATTAAAAGACGTTATCCACTTACTGTATGCAAGAGAGATACCTCTAGGAATAATCAAAACGATCGAAAATAACTACCAAAAAAACACAATAAAAGTAAAAGTAGAAGAACTAACAGACCCTATTGATGCTGGCGATGAGATAAGACAGGGAGATTCCCTGAGTTCTCTATTGTTCAACCAGATTATGGACGAAATAATAAAAAAAGTAAGAACTAAAAAAGGATACCAAATGGAAGAAAAACAACTTAAAATAATCTGCTATGCAGACCACGCAATATTACTCTCTCAAAGTGAAGATGATTTACAACGTATGCTGCACCAACTGAATATAACCGCCAGAAAATTTAACATGTTGATTTCCCCAACAAAGACAAAATGCATGGTTAAAACAGCAAATTTACTAAGATGTAAATTGGAGCTGGAAGGTTAGATAATAGAACAAGTGATGGAGTTTAAATATCTAGGCATCACATTATCTAATTACTATTTAAATGGGAATAGTGAATAGTAGAATAAACAATATGGAGAAATAAAATTATCGGGAAAGAAACGAAAGGCAAAATTTACAAAACAGTCATCAGACCAAAAATGACATATGCGGCAGAAACAAGAGCTGACACAGAGAGGACAAAAATGTTGGAAATAGTAGGGATGAAAACGTTTAGAAAAATTTATGATAAGGCACTATGGGGCAGAGCTAGAAGTACAGATATATGACATAGATGCAAGGTGGAGAACATCAAAAACTGGGTAAGAAATAGAAGAGTAGAATGGAACGATCATATAAGCCGAATAACAACAAATAGAGTAGTAAAGACGGCAAGAAACGGTTCCCCAATAGGAATCAGTAGGAAGACCACGAAAACGATGGAATGACAACTTACTGGAGGCACATTGAAAAACAGACAGAGCCATGTCTATATAAAAAGAAGAAGTCTATATTTTGTTAGTTATTTTTCATGCAGTTTTTCATTTAAACCTGCTTAGAGCAAATATATGATGCCTAAAAACGAATTGATCGAGAGTAGTGAATCGATATTCCGCTATTTTATGACGCTACCCCTGACGACGTCGATTTGTGGCGCCAGTTCCGTGGCGCTCGCCTCAGCATTTTACTGTGGAGAAAAAAAAGTAATACAACGCCAGTCTAGAAGCTTCGCTTCAAAAATATTAGTTTAACAGCTTGACGTTTCGGACTTTGTGATTATCTTTGTGATTGGCACACGTATGAGACGTCGAGATGACCATAAGTCGTCACGATCTCTGAGATACCTGTTTGTAGCTCCAGTGTGTACCAAAGGAGCAAAAAATTGATTAGTAATGAAGTTTATTTACCTTTCGTAGTGACGTCGTATCACTGTAGCTGCGCTGGTACTGTTTTGATGGCCACTCATTTCGTCGAATATGGACTTCCAGAGACGATTTGTTGTGACGCAATCATAGCCTCCAAGTTTTTGTACTCTTGTGAAGAATTCATGTAAATTTACTAAAAACAATAAAAGGAATTTTACATAATGAAAACAATGTATTTTTAGACGTTTTACGAAATATATTTAGCTTTTCAATCATGTTTACCCAACTGAAGTGAAATCCCATAAAATTTTATAAAGTCATCTACAGTAGAATAAGCAATAAGTTTGACAAAGATCAAGATGAAACAGTTTAGTTTAACAAACGGGTTAGCAACTCGAAAAGCACTATTTGCACTGAATGTCGAGCTACAGAAATGTCGAGATCAACGCAAATATGTATTTGCCGTTTTTATTGATTATGAAAAGGCATCCAATAGAGATCTACACGACGAGTTAATTAAAATATTAAGAGAAAAGGGAATTAATAGTCGTGATGTGAGGATAATAGAAAAATGATACTGGCATACATTCGGAATAATGTAAAGTTGACAGAGGAGTGAAAGGTTGCTTAAATGCTATAGACTCGTGTGAGACACAGATGGGAAGGAACATTAACTGTTCTAAAACAAAATATATCGTGTTTAGTCGATAAAACGGGTCATATTAAATTCACAGTTTAAACTCCATCTCCAACAAATCAATTCTCTTGTACATCTCAAAACCTTACTGTTTTCTCGCCATATCAAGATACACACTTACAAGTGGGTGAATAAACAATGAAAAAAGTATCTAATTTAAACTGCTGCTATGCTGAATCTGCTACACCGTAGTCACGGTATTTTTTTGCTGTAGCCGTGACTACAATCTCTCCCATAATGGAGTCACAGCTTTTTTGGAAGTATAACTTTCTTAAACCGAGCTACAGATGAAATACAGTGATCGATGCGGTGGATCGAGCAGAGGTATAAAAAAATAAAAACGACAGAAACGCGGTGAAATACAATGAAACGACAAATCGCACGACCACACAATACGTGGAGTAGTAAATGTAGTCCCATGTGTTTTTAATCAAAATAAGTTAAAATAAATAAAATTAAATAAATTAAAATCAAATAAATTAAAAGAAATTAAAATAAATAAAAATAAATTAAAAACCATCGTATCCTGGGTAAGCGATAAGAAAGCTATGATTCCCTCCTCGGTCACACCCCGGAATGCCACACCCCATTTGTTTGTATTTGTCAAGTTATATTCTTGGTATTTAATGAACATATTATTATTATAATTTGTTCTTAGCAAAACGAATCAGATTAATATCGTTTCGTTGTGTTCGATGATTAAATTCTCCGTTTTCGAATATCAACAAACAATTTTAACAGTAAAAAACAGGGCACCTTCAAAAGAAAATATCTAATGTTAACGAATAAACTTACATTCCTTGTAACCTAAAGATGGTATTCTTCCTATTGGGGTGCGATTTGACTTCATGAAGGCTCCTAGCTTTCTGACAAACTCCCTGTTTTCGTTATTTTCATGACAACGCGTACTTCTTCGAATGGGATTCGCCGTACTCTCGGGTGGAACGGTATTTTTACTTTCAACCTAAAAATAATTAAATTTATTAATAATTTATAATTTTTATATAGACTCTACGGCATAGAATATACTTTAAGGCTGTTATTGACAATATGAAAGAAAAGAGAGTGCTATAAACAGCGACGCAACAAAGTACCAGAACCTTGTACGTTGTTTTGGTCGTACCCTTAAATAAAACAATTCTAAATTCACGTATCATTGGCTATTGGTATGAATCTGACATGTTCTTCTATTTATGGGGGTTGGGCTTATTTTTGATATAAGAAAATAAAAATGCGAAACAAAAAGTGCTTCACATCAGTGGCTGCTAGTCCTAAAGGGCTACGGGGCCATGGCACTGGTTTTGAAAATATATTTGTTTAAAAAAATACTTATGTCCAACAAAAAATGTGGGTTACATCATTTTTGTGCTGATAGCCTCATATATAATTGAATTCATCACAATCTAAATCACTAGTTGTACAAGTTAACGTAATTACCGCTACAACTTTGATGCAAAACAGCCAGGATATAATTAAAAATTTAGTGTCAATTATGCCAAGAAATATTCAGGAAATTATTGAAGGTTCTGGCGGGCATACTACAATAACAAAATTGTTTGGTTTTAAAATGCATCTGTACAAGGAATTTTCAGTTTCAAACACTCACAACTAAAAACACTAGCTTCAGGAAAAATAAAAATTTAGTTACGTTTACACTTTTTACTAAGAAGATCGCTAACTAATGGCGAGCAGTTTATATGAAGCTGTGCCATATGATTCTGTCACAATAGCTTTGAAATTAGTAAAAATTAGCTAAACATCAATTTAGTAAATGTAACACAAATTAATGGCAAGGGTATTAAGAGAAAAAACAATAATTCTACACAAAAAATGAAGCTACAGATTTGACTTAAAATACTAATAATCGAAGAGTTGGATTCCAAAAGGATTAAGTCATCGTATTCACATTTTGAGGTTTTAGTTGGATCTGATTCTAGAGCATCATTTCTTACATTAGAAAAACAATTCATGCCATAACAGCTTAAGTCAAGTATACTGTACAGATTACAAATCAGTAATGTTTTCCAAAAGTGCTTTAGTCATGCCTTGTTCTTTTCCAAACAGGCTTAAGTCAGCTGTTGAGTTTTTGCACAGTTGTGATTCCAGCTGTCAGCATCTATTTAAGCTGCTGTAAGTTTTTGGTTATGTGACTGTTTGCGGTAAAACAAGTGAGTAATCGAAAACGTGTGTTGTAAGTATAAAAGGAGTTTAGATTTTGTAACAAGTGATTTTTCAGTATCAGTAAACATTAATAGTGCCAAGAAGAGAGAAAAATGAAGACCGGTGGAACAAAAATCTCAAGAAATTCGCAAGAAATAGTAAAGAAACTCATCCAGATCCTCGCATTGTTTGTGCTTATAAAGGTGATGTTTGTTGTCAGCATCTATTTAATTTGCTGTAAATTTTTGGTTATGTTGACTGTTTGGGGTGAAATAAGTGAGTAATCGAAAACGTGTGTTATAAGTATAAAATGAGTTTAGATTTTGTGACAAGTGATTTTTCAGTATCTATAAATGACATTAATAGTGCCAAGAAGAGGAAGCGAGAGAAAAATGAAGAACCGTGGGACAAAAATCTCAAGAAATTCGCAAGAAATAGTAAAGAAGCTCATCCAGATCCTCGCATTGTTTGTGTTCATAAAGGTGATGTTTGTAAGACATATCAAGTTAAAAGCTCATAAATTTTATGAACTGCTTAAAAAAACAGAAGCTAATGTAGTTAAGGTATCTTTTGACCTAGAACAAAACAGGCTCTTCCAAAACTAAGAGTTGGTGAGATATATTATTCTCGACAAATTTGTGTTTATAACCAAACTTTTGTATTGATGGAAGATACACAAGATTCTACTAATACTTTTGTGTACATATGGACTGAAAACGAGTGGGCGAGGCTCCAATGAAGTAGTTTCAGCTCTGTATAACTTTTTGGGGATTATTGGAAGACAAGTTCTCGTTTTGACGCTTGCAGTGGACAAAATAAAAATCAAAATGTTTTGGATTTCGTACTTAGTTACTTGCAAACTTCCAGAGCGTTTTGTGATACATATTTAGCATTGCTTTCCAATCAGGGGACATATCTATATTCTTCCTGATAAGAGTATTTGGACGTTTTGAACAAATATTTGGAAGAAAAGAAACAGTAGTTGAACCAGAGAAGTACTACAAAGTGTTTGCATCTTCATTTACAGTAAAAGTTTTAGGAAAAGACCGGGAACATTTTGATTTCATGGATGCTGCAAAACGAGTTTTATTAAAGAAGCTCCCTTTTTTGATGCCTAAACAACGATTTTTTTCATTTTCAAATAAAAGTAATAAGGACGAATTGAAGCTAAAAATACCTACTGTCGTGATTCTAGTACTTTTAAAGCTATAAAAAAAGGAAGCAATTTGCTGGGAGAATACAATACAGTGAAGTCTATGCCATTATGTAAATGAAAAGAAGAAAAAAGACGTGGAAAACCTTCTCAAATTTATTTCATTATCTGAAAGTTTAAAAGACCTTTATAATACTGCACTTACCAATGTGCAAATTGGTTCCAACGGCAATAATACTGTAGTGTATTACAAACTAGAGCTTTTTATTTGAAATATTTTTCAAGGTTACTTTTCAAATTTTGACAAAAATGTGAATAATTGATTTTGATGAATTAAAATTAATTTTTAATTATGTACTTAGATAGTCATTAAACCTTTGCTGAAATCTTAAAGACAAGCTCTGATAGTCAATAAACTTACAAATGAATAATATATGAAGTAATTTCCCACATGAGTTTTCCAAAAGTGCCTAAGTCATTGACTTAAGGTCGTTTTGAAAAAAAAAAACCAAATGTTTAACTTCTTAAAAGGCATGATTTTGTGTTCAAATCTTACTTTCTATTGTCTTGAAACAAGAATTTGAACCTGCACATTACATGACTGATTCTATTCAAAAGTAACATTTAATTATATTCTTAAACATACAAAAAATTCGTTCCTGAAAAATTTATTTTTTTGACTTAAGACCTTTTGAAATCCAGCTCTTCAATTGTATACAGTGCCACTCTAAATTTATTTATCTCATTTTTTTTACTGTTCAAATGGAGAATTTGAAAGAATCTCTCCGCTATTCAACCATATGTGCAATACACATTTAATTTATATTTTGATGACATCATATTCTATACATAGTACAAAAGTGTATCAACTATTTTTATGCAAAAACGCCCGAATACCAATCAAAACCACCGACAGCTTTACAAGAAAAATAATATTTGTTTCTATGAAATAATTCGAGAAAAGTGACGCTCTGTACATGTATGTCAGTGTATAAAACAGTCGATTCATTTCAAATGCATTCTTGATATGAATTGTTATTTGTATTAGATTACGTAAGAGAAAGTTGTTATTTATTTAGTAATTCCAATTTTCTGACTTAGATACATAGTTACTACTTGTGAAAAATATATTAAAATACGATATAAAACAGATCAATAGTTAGATATGATTTGTAAGTAAGTTTATATTGTCAATTATATATGAGATATTAAACAATTATTAAAACATAACGATACTTTAAATACTTAATTTTAATCAAATTTTTGGTAGATAGAAAAAAGAATACAAATAGCTTTCACTTGTTTTCTACAGCAGAAATTGCTGACGATCCAAGGGTTTTTTGGCTTCAAGTCTTAGTCACTTAATGATTCCATTTCATCCACGACGCTCTAACCCTACTGGATCATCAACCTCATCAACCTGTATGCGTCCACTGCTGGACATAGTTCTCTCTCAGATCTTTACATATGTTTCTGTCTTGTGCGGCTTGCAGTAATTGCTAACACGCTTCAGGTCGTCAGTCCATTTAGTTGGTGGGCGTCGTCTGCTTCGTATGGCTTCTTGTCTTGGTCTCCACTCTAAAATGCGTTTTGTCCATCGGATGTCTGATAATCTGGCGACGTGTCTTGCCCAATTCCATTTTAACGACGACATTTTTTCGATGGCGTCTGTTGTTTTTGATTTACGACGTATTTCTTCGTTTGGGATTCGGTCTCTCAGAGACACCCAACATCTGGCGCTCCATAGCCCTCTGAATCACGCGAAACTTATTCGCTATCTTTTTTGTGATAATACCGTGATAATAATAATCATTTTCACAATAATGTGAAATAGAGCGAGGAGAAAAAATGCATTTTAACTATGTAACTTGGAGAATATCTGTGTACTAGTACGTTTGAGACAATAAGTAAGAGGCGGGGGCTGTTCCAGGGGTGATTATAATATGTATCACCTGGCACTTTATCATTGCTACCAGCGCCAAATTTAAAAAATAATTTTTGAATAATTTTTTGAAGTTTTATCTAAAATTTCATGAGGTACCCTGAGGTGATTTATCAACGAAATATTCGTACTCAGCGACTTCGAAAACACCCAAATAATGTCTATCGACTGATTTATAATAAAATTAACATGGAACTCTAGGAAGCGATGACACCTTGGGCACCGAATACCTTGAGACCATGGCTGTCGTAATATCCATGTTAAACAACCCCTAAAATTCTCCGAGTACCGACTTTTGACTCATTTAGAATGAACATAACATATAACTCCAGGAGACGGTGTCCACGCTCCACCAGGTAGCTCGAGAACCATCGTTATCATAATATTCATATCCAGCGACCTAAAAAACCCCGGAGAAATGACTTTCGACTGATTTCAAAAGAAAATAACATAAAACTCCAGGAGACGTGGTGTTTGTTATCATTTTCGTGTTAAGTCACCTCGAAAACTTTCAACTAATGACTATCGACTGATTTAGAATGAAATTAACATCCTACAGGAGACGAGGTCTATCCTGAGCACCAGGTAACTCGAGGATCATCGTCATTATCATATTCGTGTTCAGCGACCTCGAAAACCCCCGAGTAACAAAATTTGAACTTATTCCTGTCGATATTTTCTGAGTTGCAAATTTTTCGTTTTCTTTGGAAATGCACTTTCCTTATGCTTGTAGATTTCCTTATGCACAAAATGCAATTTTCTTTTATAATAGCACCACGAATTTTGTTCACAAACGTTCCTGCCAAAAGTTGCACATAGATTCTTCTTTTTATTGTTTCATTTCTTCGCCTATATAGGTTATAATCAGCTAACAGAGCAGAAATAGTGAAACTACCGAAATATAAAATTAATCTTACGAAAAAAAGTGTATTTGAAGGAAAAATATTATTAGGCATAAGCAGTAAAATAACGAAAAGAGAATTAAAGCAAAGACCAATATAATATACGAAATTAATAAGGTTAACTTCAAAGATGATAGATGGAATAAAATAAGAAAAATGGGCCAATAAAAGAGTATTATCGAAGCAGAGGATGACCATAAAGCAATTGAACAGGCGATATAATGTTTATCATAAATAATAACAAACTAGATGTAATAATACCTACAGAAACTTTTGGCAACAGTAACGTTCACAGTGAATAAGAGGAGAATAATTTTGATTAATGATAATAATTCCGACAATGTATATAATTCCTTTATATACTGTGTACCACACAAAGTGTTCTACCAGTCAAACATTTAGCGATGATGAAAGGATCAGTATATTCCAGAGAACAATGGAAGGAACGATCGATAATATGAACATGATATAAAAAATTAAATCGGAATAACATGAGCTAACGAAAATAGATGGACAAAGAACTTCAATAAGCAGCACGAAATTATGGACAATATGATAAATATATGTACTGTGTTCCCCACCTCTTCCTTTAAATACAAATGTTAATCAAATATTAGAGACACAAACAGAACTATATAATTTGTCTACTTTAATATGGTGTTTTATTTTTACCTTTGTACTAGTAGTAAGTGAAGATTCAGACTCATTGCTCTCAGATCCAGGTGAAACACTTCTCTTTTTCCGCCGTCCTCTAGGTCGGCCCTTTAACTTTGGTGCCAGGTGATTACACAGTAATTCGTGGCCTTCTAGTTCTGGATAATCGAATGTATCTCTACAGAACAGTACCCTGGTGTTAGGATGGACTACATAGAAGCCGCCCAAGGCATTAACTATTTTGTATTTTAGGTAAATATCCTCTACGCCCTCTAGGCGTTTCATCATCGCTCTGAAACGGCAGTATTTGGGAAAACTGAGGATCACTACGTGCGGATCTCTCAAAGTCTTGCTATTTTCTGCAAAAAATTTATGAGAATTAGAGAAAATAAATTATTTACATATAAATGTATAAAAATAATAGAAAGTACACACACATAAGACAATGTAAAATTTTCTGCCTCTTTCTTAAGTAACTCAAATCTAAATTACTATTCATTGTTTAAAACATTACTGCAATTAACTAAAATGCAGTAGTCAGTCAAGTACTGCATGTGATTTCATATAGATAATCGAAAGCTCATCACAACTAAGAGAGTTCATTTTGGGAACTAATTAAGTTTTATTTTATTTTTTATAGTAATATTATCAAAGTGAAAAATTTTCTCAATATACACCCACTTGCACACGCTCACTTATTTTTCATCTTTTTACTAACTGAGCCATTGTCATTGGATGCAATGCAATTGGATACAATTCGCATTTCGATACAATATTCTGAGATCTTCTTTGCAGCTCACCCAATAAAACCTTTCTTGAATCTTTTGTAAAGTCTTCGTTATGCCAAAGCGTCCACCTAATGTACTGTCATGTAAATGATTGTGAACAATCATCTGTAGCTTAGATTCTGTACTATACTCATTTTCAAAAGTTCTCTACAGAAGATCATTTCTCAGTACCAGGCAGGTACATTGCTCCAATAGCATGTTACTGATGAATCACATGCTTTATGTATCGACAATTAAATGGATTTTTCGTACTCAGTGATCGATGTGATAATTATATTTTTGTAATTACCCTAGTTTGTCAGACTGGTGTGTTATTTACTTGCAATTGTGATTTAAATGGTATTTCTGTCAGAATGTTGTCATTAGCTTCTGGACAAGTTCTCGCTTGTACGCTGGATTGTACTTTGTAGTTCTGATTTCTATACTTGTTGTAAAGAGGCATCTTTATTGCATGTTTTCAGTCAATTGCATTAGGTCCAATAATATTTCTGTGTTATCCGACAGATTAGTATTCAATCATAAAATGTCGGATGTAGCACTCCTCAAAGCTTCAGTCAAGGAAACAGCATCTTCTTTTTCCATCTAATTGTTGACAGTCACAACAGCTTCACATTGCACAAAAAAAATTCAAATCAACAATTCTCAAACATCTTGAATACGACTACTGAAGTTTCTTAGATTATCAAAATTTTCTCATCTATCAGAATACACTCGCGATCATAAAATCCGGGTCAGCTTGAAAATCACCGATATTTATACTATCAAATCTTATATACTAAAAAGCTAAGCCCTTTTCTTGTCCACCACTTTACTCAAAAACCATATTAGATAATTAAAATATTTTTTCGGAATATTATTAGTATTACGTATGAGATTGTCAAGATATACTTTTGGTACAAAAATTCACTTCCGGTTTTGAGATGACCGGAAGTTAAAATTTACTTTAAGTTTTAGACCCCACAATGTATATATGGATCGAAAGGTCTCGTCGAGACGAATCTAAATATGTACTTCCGGTTGCGATCCGACACCGAAAGTGACCCGAAAATTAAATGTACAAAATTAAATTTTTGAAAACGGGTTATAATTTCATCAGAACGTTTTCGTTCTTATCAGACCATTATCAGTGAAATCATAGTTAGTAATTAAAATAAAATGGTGTAATAACTTTTTAATTACATTTTAAATATCTTGAAAATTGAAACGGTACGAAATCGATGTTAAAAGATTTAACTTTAAGGAAACGTACTGAGCCCTACTCGAAATGAGGACTACATTATGAGTCTTGGTGAAGGTACCAGCCCACTCGGTTGGTGTGTTGTAACGTGTCTATAAACGTTTTGGATCTGTGTTCTCTACATTTTACTTCATCCCGAGATTCTTTTGAACTCATTCTAGTGGCGTTAATCGTTTTGCTAGCTATTCCTCACTCTCTCATTATATTACACATTTAATAGATGTTAATTTTTTCATATTTTAGTAAAAGTCGAATTTATTTTGTGACTACAACTTTTTTAGGTGCCATGTCCGTATTCAGATGTTTGCCATCATCATGTTTACAATTTGGAGCAGTTTTCTGCAAAATCGGCTCTTTTTTTATACATTGAGCCAGTATATATCCCCATAATTTTCATACGTAGATGTAGATGGCATAGTCTTGGTTTTGTCCACTTGTTTAGCATTTTTATTCGTATTACATTCTTATTTTATTAGCTGGAAAATCTGCGGATGTAATCACCGCCCTCTTTAAGCGTATCTCCTGTTGTTTCAGAGAGCGGTGTTGAACTTATTTTTATTTATATAAGGCAAATAACACTTGAAAAAATGTAAGTCAAGTAAGAAGTAAACAATTGATTCGAACAAAAAGTAGAAAAACTTTATAAGTTACGGACAAAAGTTAACTGATACAGTATTGTAAGATTGGTGCCGATCAAACTACAATTTCAGGTAAATATTTTCTTTATTTTGCTTTGTTTACCTTGCCTTTTATAGACATGGCAGTTTGGAAAAATTTCCCCTTTACGGCTCTACGAGCCGGATGAGCGACTAATTGGACCAAATTCAATGAACATGACTTCTAGAAATATAAACGCCGCGTATTGGATCGTCAATAAATTTTAACGTAACTGTGATACGAAACTTTAAGATGAATTTCAGTTTTCAGTTGATTTTCAAAATTAATTTTTATACATGAACGAAATACCGTTAAATGATGATAATAAGCATAAACTAAAATGGCGATTTTTGTTGGTAAATTGCAATTTATCAAATCCTTTTAACATTTCCTAAAAAAACTTTTTTAATCGACTTCATGAATTGATGTGTTATATTGAGAGTGATTTTTCATTAATTTCTGTTTATAAATTCTAAATACGAAACAAAAAACATATTTAACTGTCACAAAAACTGTCTTTGTTCAGGCATAGATCTCATACTGCAGTAAATGCAGGTCAATTCAGCGGTTAAACCTAACACAAGCGATATTGAGTTGCAGTTTCAGGTGAAACTTTAGGAGACTCTGATTTGTTCAGCTACGTCGGTTTGCCGCACACCAGGTTGAAGAAGGCCTACAGCCCTATTCATTTGTTCAAAAATGAATTAAATTGTTCCATCGTTCCAACACAGTATTTTACGCATCTACTAAACAATCTTCTTTATACAATTTTTATGACGAGATCATTGACCCGATTGCAGTATAGTAATAGTAGTATAAATTATTTAATTTTTACAAATTTGATTGTTATACTGGTTACACTTTTTTCTATAAAACACTTAAACGTCTCTTAAATATTTAAAAAGACTTGAGAATTTCTCAGTTTCATTTATTATTTCTTGTATATTATCTCCCAACTGGTATTATTTTATTTTAATAGAAATATGTTGGGAAATGCTTGAACGTTTAGGGGCTGCTGCAAGCTGCAATCGTATCATGCAAGTGGATTGGTAGATGCTAGTAGCTTCTTAGAATACCTTTGTGGTCGCTCTAAAGGACTTATAACTGGTTATATGACGTAAGTGACTCGTAGTTGTGTTCCAATGAGCTTGCCATTTGTCATATTTGGATATGTTTTAATATTCTATATCATTATGCAGCTGGATATTTGATACGTATAGGTATATTTAACACTCACACAGAACGACCAAGAACTGCTTAGACGTTTCGAGAGAAAAATTCTAAGGATAATATATGGAGGAGTCCAAGAACAGGGTTTGTGGGGTAGGCGCTACAACTTTGAATTATATAAAGTTTTGGGGAACTTGAAGTTGTAAAATTTATTAAATTAGCACGCCTTACATGGATAGGACATGTAATTAGGCGAGATGAAGATGCAACGATCAGAAAAATTTTCGACCGAAGAGGACCAGTGGGAAGACGACCCAGAGGAAGACCAAAACTTAGGTATCAAGATAACATAGAGGATGATCTATAAGCCATCGGAGTTAAAGCATGGAGAAGAGTTGCCAGAGACAGAGGCAAATGGAAGATTGTTCTGAAGAAGGCTTTGGCTCATAACGAGCTGTAATGCCACTGATGATGATGATGATGATAGGTATATCCAAAGTAAATGCTTCCCTTGCGGCTAATCTACAGCCTCATTTCCTACCAATCCTACATATGAAGATACCCATACTATGGTGACAATTACTCCATTGTCTGTAAGTTTATTATGTATGTCAAGTATCATAATAATATCGTATGGCATTTTTGCAGGGGAGATCTATTCGGATAGGTCAAGGATTGAAGAATGGTTCTAGAATGTTGGATGAGTTTATTTGGTTGAAGAAGTAGTTGGTATTCTGGGTTGTGCGGATAAGCAGATAGCTAGATGAATATGACAAAAGATGATGTCTCCTTAACCAAAGCGGCAGTTCGTTAGCTTCACCCTACATGCTTTTAGCTAGGCTAGACCTAAAGGCATCTAAGCAGATCTTAAGACCCGTATTGTGGACGGAGTTAAGGGCCTTAAGATTAGACTTGCAGGAAGAGATTAGACAAAACTACCGTAGTCTATTTTGAAGCAATTTATGGATGTGTCAACCGCAAACACTACCTCTTCGTTAGCTCACCATTGGAAATGTGCTAGACTTCTTAAAGAATTAATATTTTTTTAAGCAATTGCCTTTCATTTCATGTATGTGTGTATTCCCAGTACGTCTGTAGTTTTTATAGATCTAAATATCTCAATTAAAAATACATCATTTACTAAACGCGTTTTGGGTAACTAAAACTAAGTCCTTGGTTATTACCAGGAAGTAAATTAAATTCTCTTTTCGTCAAAATTATTTATATCCGCCAACTACTAAAATGCACTCTATAAATTAAGTGCCACACAAAAATGTAGCATCTTGGACAATTGCCAAAGGTGATGAAGCAGTTGTGCCAAACAAAAATAATCAACACAATGCATTTTTCATTGGGAAAACAGATAAATTTCACGCGATATTTAAAAATGATTAAGTATTGCTGAATGGCAATTTTTAATTTTAAATTTAATTAAAATAACTTTTCTATTTTTTTTTATTGTTTCAATTCTCTTTCTTACATGTCGTTATAAACATGACAGGATTAT